AAAAAAAAGAAAAGAATAAAGACATTCTCAGATTTAAAAAAAAATGAGATGATTTGTTACTTGTAGACCTTCCCTACAAGAAATACTAAAGGGAATCTTTCAGACTTAAGTAAAAGGACACCAGACAGTAACTCGAATCCATGTGAAAAAATAAAGAGCACTAGGAAAGGTGCCTACATAGGTAAATATAAAAGACAGTATATACGCATATTTATGTTTGTTTGTAATTCTTTTCTCCTCCTATTTGATTTACAAGACAAATGTATAAAGCAATGATTATAAAACTGTGTTGAGGCTATAATGTATAAAGAGGCAATTTATATGGCAATAATAGCACAAAGGAGGGGGAAGGAATGAAGCTATACTGGAGCAAAATTTTAATACATTTTTAAACTAAATTGCTATTAATCCAAAATAGATTATTTTAAGTTAAGATGCTAAATTGCAATTCCCAGGGTAACCACTAAGAAAATAACTTAAAAGCATGCTAAAATAAACAATGAGGGAATTAAAATGGCACACTAAAAACATTTAACATAAAAAAGCAACAATGGAAGAACAGAGAAACAAAGAAGACATAATACATATATAAAACAAATAGAAAATGGCAAATGTAAATCCTAACTTATTGGTAGTTACAATAAATGTAAATGAATTAAACATTCCAATCAAAAGGCAGAATGAAAAAATAATAAGCACAATCCAATTATATGTTGTCTACAAGATATATACTTGAGGTTCAAAGACACAAAGATATTGAAAATAAAAGGAGAGAAAAATACATACAATGAAAATAGAACTCAAAAGAGAATTGGCATGGCTATGTTAACATCTAACAATACAGACTTTAACAAAAATTATTAGAGACAAAGAAGAACATTTTATAATGATAAAAGGGCCAATATATCTGGAAGAAATCATTATAAAGATATATGCATTTAAAGCAGAGCTTCAAAACACATGAAACAAAACTCAACACAATTGAAAGAAAAAATAGACTATCCAACAGTGATAGTTGGAGACTTGACTATACCACTTTTAACAATGGATAGGACAACTAAATAGAAGGATCAGAGAAGAAAACGAAATCTTGAACAATACTAGAAACTAACTATACCTAACAGGAATCTATAGTACACTCTATCCAATAGCAGCAGAATACACACATTCTTCTCAAGCACTCACAGAAGGATATATGTATTCTCTTCTCTAGGACTAGACCATATACTAGGCCACAAAGAAAGCTTCAGTAAATTTAAAATTGAAATCATATAAAGCATGTCCTCCAACCACTGTGGAAAAGAGTTAGAACTCAGTAACAAAAGGAAATTTGGGAAAATAAAAAACATGTGGAATTAAACAGTACACTCCCAAATAACCAATAAGTCAAAGAAGAAAGCACAAAGGAAATTAGAAAACATTTTGAGATGAATAAAAATGAAAATGAAAACACATCAAATCAAAACTCATGGGATGAATCTAAAGCTTATAGTTGTAATGCCTCTATTGAAAGGAAGAAAGATCTCAAATCAATAGCCTACCTTAGACCTTAAGAAACTAGAAAAAGAAGGGCAAATTAAGCTTAAAAAGCAAACTAAGCAGAAGGAAGAGAATAAAAATTATAGCATAAATAAATTAGAGAATAAATAAAAACAGGGCAAGTCTCCAGGGGAAAAAAAAATGACCTGACAGTATCTGACAGATACCATGAGGAAAGTTGGAAGAAGAGGTCTATTACAGAGATGATAGAGAAAGTAGGAAATCCTAGTGAGATCTGAAAACCAAAAAAATAACAAACGCAGCAAGTTATACCAGGAAAAACAAAAAGTTTTACAAGAAAGGAAGTGTGATAGTACAGCTCTTGGCTCACCACGGTACTTACCTAACTGTAATGAAGGACAGAGATTACCAAATTAAACAAAAACGTATGTGAATTACACGGGAAGAATGACAGGGAAGACGTGTATGTGCGAAAGGAATCATTCAGGAGAGTCATCCTCATCTTCCATGGGAAGAAAATAGATAATAACAATCACAAATTTAAAAATGGCAGCAGAAGCTACTTACTTAAAAACAAGCGAGTTCAAAGTGGCTGCCTTTGGGGAGTAGTAACTGGACACTGGACATGTGTCAGGTTGAGCAAAGGGAACCACTGTTCTATGTTGTGAGCTTTGTCATATGCTTTGGCTTTTAAAATTATGCATATGTATTGCTATGACAAAACTAACCATTTAATTAAAAAGCAAGAGAACAATGCTAGCCTGAGCTTCTGACTAAGAATCCGTTAGTGTAACCCCCTCTCCCTCCCTCTCTTTTTCTCCCTCTCCCTCTCTTTTTCTCCTTCTCCCTCTCCCCCTCCTTCTCTCTCTTTCTCTCTGAAAATGGTCTAGAACAGCCAGGACTGGATTTTCAGGCTCCACACCCTAGCTCAAGTGCTGCACACCCTAGCTCAAGTGCTGCTTGACTTGGGTGTGAGCTCTGGGCTCTGGCTAACTTTTGGTTTGCTTCAAGGATTGTCAAGTTCATCTCTCAGAGAAGACAGGCTGGCCTCACTACACTGAGTTAATGATAACAGTTTGCAAAGGCCCACGTCTATGGAAAGGCAGGCAGGATCAGACACCAGAAAGTGACAACTGGTACTTATTAACTGATAAAGTATGATTAATAAAGATCACACAAATAGAAAGCAGGGTGATGCATTACTATGGAATCCAAGTGATGGCTCAGAATGGAGGCAGAGCACAGCGCTAAGTCTGCAACAGCTCCTTCATCCAGGGATGAACTGGTCAGTACATTTGAATGCAAACACACAGCCCCAGGAGTCTGTCAGCAGCTGACACCTTGTGGAGCATGGGAATGTTCTCCTGCCATCTGCATCATAGGCCCACTTCTCTAACTATCTGCCCCTCAGTGCTCCAGATCCAGAGTCTGGCAGCCAATGGGCAGTACTCACTTTTGCTCTCCACAGGTATCGTCCAGAAAAACATTATAATGAAGAAAAGTTGCCACCATTATTATAGCTATTAAACAGTGAAGCCTGGTTTCCAAGGGCAAAATCTGAGGCGACTATTGAGTTCATAAGGAAGGGAGGAGTCCTGGTTTGCTGACGACCAGTGTGGCCCAGAGCAGCTTCTCATAGAGGAACATGGTCACAGGCTGGCTCTGAACCAGGGGAAACCTGCTAGTGTAACTGGGGTCTGGCTGTATGCAAACATTGCTGGCTGTCAGCTTCTGGATGCCATCAGCTGTAAAGCAGGGCTGATGAATCCTACACCCTTGGCATCTTTGGTCACTTGCACTCGCCCCCTGGCCGGGGGAAAGCCCCTGAGTGGTCTTAGCCACATGCTTCATTTCCTGGGTGAAAGGTCAGTACTTTGCTGCCTACCTTAAGTTCATCTTTGCTCTGGAAGTTGTCCAGGAGGTGCTGGTAATGGGTGTCACACATCTGGCGGAGCAGCGAGAGAAGGCAGGACACATACTCACCCTGGGGACCAACCCAAAAAACATTTAGCACAGACAATCACAAGGGCTGTGTTCCCCCAATCCACAGAGGGCAAGGACAGAAGGAAGGGTCTGAGATGGCCCCAATGATCATGAAAGGGAAGGTGACAACTCTGCCCTGAAAATGATTTCTCTTTTCCTCTGAGAGAAGCCTGGAGGGCTTGGGAGTTTTAGTAAGGATTTCTGCAGCATGGGGCTAATTGAAAAACCTTAACTTATAACAAAGAAGTACTGCAAAGTGAGACAGATATTCGTTCTTTTCCTAGGAAAGTTTTGGCTGCATAGTCCTTTGTCACTACATGTTGCCAGGGTGCTGTACTAAAGTCTGGCGGGGCTAGTTGGGTCAGGGTGCTCGGCCTTCTCTGGACAGAATTTGGACTCTGCCCATCCTGCTAGGTCCTTCTACAAGGATGTCCATGGACTCCAAAGACTGCCACCAACTCACAGCAATTTTTGGCATAGCCTTCTCTTAGAAGACTGTCTCCTCAAAAGGAATGGAGGAAAATTGCTTCAGTTGGACAATTTTCAAATATATTTAAACTCATGGGAATTTAACAAGTTTTTCAGTCTCTCAAATCCTTTCTGACCCATGAAATTATTATACATACATGTATCTAAAATACAGACATGTGTATGAACCTCAGTTTTATCTGAAAAATGGGAATGCCATAATTCATAGATTTGTTATGAGGATCAGATGAATTAATGTACACAAAGCATTTAAGAAAAAAATTCAGTTCACAAAGAAGTGCTTAATAAGCTGTAGTTATCATCTTCATTAAATCTATATAAGACGAATCACTTTGTTAGTACTGCTAAATGAGTTAAAATTTGTAAAGGGCATGGCACAGGGTCTGGCCCACGGCACGCGCTGTGTTGTGGTTGGTTAGAAGGACGGTTTGCCAGGACATGCCAGGGTGCTTATGTTTTTACCTGCAGTGAGAGTGCCCTCACAGGAGCCCTAAGACAGCCGACCTCTCTAAGCCCAGTGCTCCAGCACATAGGCCTGCTCTCTATCTGTGCTCCCTGCTTGCCCTGACATGCTGGATGGAGCTGGGCTTGCTCCCACAGAGGGTTTTCTTCAAAGAGATCATTGTCATCTCCTACCTGCCAACTGGAAGATTCCATGCAATCTATTTACCATGTTCCAACATCAGGGCCAAGAAGCCCACTCTGGGTATAGGAGAGGGGATGCTGGGGGCTGCCTCTCTGCCTCTCGGGAGAGGCTGTCCCAGTCGGTTTCTCTTCTCATTAGATCACGTGAGATCAGTGTCCCACAATGCCAGTGCAATTCTACCTCATTACATTTTTCTAGACATAGAGAAACAAACATTATGGATGAAAGCAGCTAATCTGTAGATTCAAGTAAATTCTGAGAAAATTATTCTGCCGTGTACATCATTTTGGAGCCTTTCCTAGAAGGACCAGTCTGCTTTTCACCTTCGACCTCTTCCTACTTCTTATTACATCTCTATTTCATTCCACATCACAGAGAATGACTTGGCTGAGAGGCGAAGGTAGGCGAAGGCGGGCAAAGACAGTGGGAGGAAAACAAAACAAGACGCTTTCCTGAATCTGCCCTGCAGTAGACTCCTGGGAGCATGACTTCTATGCTTCTGGAGCTTTCAGAGGGGAGATGGGAATTAGGCTGGAGAAGGGAAGGGTTCAGCACGCTGACAACCATGCAGGAAAGGGGGCTGAGATGAAGGTGGTGCAATGGTGACGTGGGGTTGGTGTGGAGGAGCCCCAGGTTAGAAAAGAAAGCAAGAAAACCTGAATGTTAGTTACTAACAGTGATCTCGGCTGTGCACTGCGGGCACCGCTGCCCTCTTACCGCCTCCTGAGCGTGCGATTTGCTCATGATGGTGAGAAGAGTCTGCAAGAGCACATCCAGGAGGCTCTCCACCATCATTTCTACCTCCTCCATGACATCTGCCTCCTGGAGCAAGCAGCGAGAGAACACACCATTAGCACCAGGCCAACCTGATGTGCAGTGGGCAGTACTTACTAAGTCAGCCACGTCACCAGTGGTCTTCTGTCAGGTTTCTCAGCATCGCTCTCAGCCTCACTAGCGTGCAGTATTAAGGAACCCGGGGCAACAGCTCTGAGAGGAGGTGAGGAACACCTGCCGCTGACGCCCCATTATGGTGGCTGAGGCCTCCCCTACCCTAGCACCACCCTGACACCCACAATTCTAACTGCAGGCAGACACATTAATTTCAATATACAGGACAAAAGCGAAGGTCCCGAGTTAAAGGCTTTCTTCAACTTCCCTAGAAATGTCAGGAGAGAGCACAACACTGCTGACTAACACTTTGAGAAAATGCTAAAGTGTTCACACCACAGGGTGTGGGGCAGTGCCTTCACCACTGCTAATGCACACACAAGTTTCTTAGTCTTTCTGAGGACTGTTTTCTCTTGGGGGATCGCAATCTTTGCCAGCCCTGACTACAGCCCATTATACCTGCGTCCCACTTCCAGCTCCTCAGCATTCTTGCTGTGTTCACTGGTCCACCTGAAGGACTCTGAGCTCAGTGAGTCTTGCCGAGCAGCCTCCCAGATACAACAGAGCACACCTCCTCACTTAGGGCTGCTTCCCAGCCACCAGGCTCTGAGTTTAGGAAGAGTCTGTGCCACCCTTTCACAGACTCTCATATTTAGTCTCCAATCCTGTAGCTTAATTTTAATTATCTCACAAAGAGATGCCCAGTGCCCCTTCTCCAGGCAAATGTCCCTCTGGCCATCCATCCATCAGTCCATCATTCATTAAGCATTTATCAAGCATTTATCATGTGTCAATCACTGTTTGACAACCTGAGTATACAGAGGTGAACGGGGAAGACAATACTTCTGCTCTCCTGGATCTTAAATTTCATCCATCCCTTACCCACCCATTCAGTACAATTCCACTGTGCCCCGTTCCACATGAGCAATGTGTGCAGCTCTGGAGGCCAAAGCCGTCTGTCTCGTCTGTTAAACTGACTATAACCCCTTACCTGTGATGTCTCTCTGAGGAGTAGCTGTAAGCAACTAACTGCACCAGACTCTAGCACACAAATACAACCAGACCGCCTCCTTCAGGTTTTTACCAGTTCCCATCCCCCCTTTCCCTTTCTTTCACCCTTAAATTTTTCTTTCTTTCAGCAATAAGCCACCCATTCCCTCAAGTCTGACCTTGGGTTACTGGGAGACCTTATGCACCTCGTGTTGCTGCTCTGAGGCCTGGTGGGACAGAGAGCTGCCAAGCCTTGCCTGGAGCCAAAACACAAACAAAAGGGCCACTAGAGCCATCACGGTCACTCTGCCAGGCTGGGCCCCATCCCCAGATGGTACTTTAAGTCTGGACACCAGAGCCCCCTATTGGGTCCCTGCATCCTGCACAAACCGAGCATACTCTACTCTTTCTGGCACCTCTCCTGCTCTGCATGGACAGCCTAACCTTGGATGTTCTTATCACCTGGCTACCGACCTTCATTTTAAATGCACTTGAAATTTTATTCTCTAAAAACCTTATCTCAACTTAATAGGATGGTGTAATAAAAAACTCATTCTTGTTTTTAATTTATTTCTTTATACTTTCCTGTAGTTTCCAAATTTTCTAGAATATGCCTTTTTTCTATTGTTATAAATATGTATATAAAATAAATACCATTAAAATAAATTCCTACCCTTATCCATGCCCGATACATGTCTTTCCTGCCTTCCCTCCCCTCCCACCACAGATCTCTTTTTAAAAGAAAACATTAAGAAGAAAGAAAATAGGCACAAGCATTACGGGCTGAAACCTCACCCCTAAAGTACAATTCTAGCATCCCAGGAGGCTCAGAGCACCTGTGGGCAGCAGCTCTCTCTCATACATCCTGACCTCATCTGGCATGGTATAGGAATGCCATATGGGTGGAATCAAGCTGCCAGGGAACTGACAGAAAAGTCTGAATGAGCAAGCTGCCTCTCAGTCTGCCTGCCTTTCTGTACTCGTGCCCAAGCAGCCTCAGAACACTCCCAGAAACGCACAAGTAACACCTTTTGATAGAAACAGGGCACAGCACAGGGTTGGGCTTTCTGGTACTACAGATAGCTGCATTTCTGGGTGGATTTATGGTAGCGAAACTTTTAAAAATAGCAAGACCGTGTTGTGTGGAGAAGACTGCTGGGCACACACAGGCCTCCGTTCATTTGGGCACCTTCCTGTCACTGATGAAAGCGTCTCTGACTGAGAAGTGTACAAAGAGGTCTTTGTCGCTCTGCCTCTGGCTCAAGTAACACAAGACTGGGGCAGAGCGGAGGGGGTGGAGTGGGTGTGGGGCCACTACCAGAGAGCTGGTCTTGACGATGGAGAAGATGCTGCCGAGAATCCCTGAGCAGATCAGCAGCTCTTTCTGCTGCCGCAGGTGAAGGTGGATGTGATGGAGAACCACAGGAAGCAGGATGCGGCGGGACTCTGGGGGAGAAAACAGGTGGAGAAGCCCTTCAGAGAACTTGCTACCTCTGGAAGCCAGGGGCACTGTGGGACTTGGCTGGTCGGAAGCAGGCGAGGCTGGGACTGAAGCCAATGTGGAGGTCACCCCTTCCCTTTTGCGGGCCTAGAGGCCCACTTCCTGGGCATTCTAAGACATTCCACGGTATCATCCTTCCATCTCTCTTTCTCATGTCAAGCCTTAGTATCTATGGTATTTTGTGGGGGATGAATGTTAGGATACTGCCTCCAAACAAAATCTCTTTAAGACTAGGCTCCAAATGAAAAGCTTAGCTTACAGTGAAAACTCCATTTAAGTGACATAGTTCTATGTGCTGCACACTTGAAATGGATTATAAATGGTCCCTCTTCAAGACGCCCTGGCTAGGTGGCCTGACCCTATAAGCCCCCCACCCCCCAGCATTGACTTTGTGCCAGGCATTAGGCCTGCCTCATTTTCCCTGCAGGCTTGTGAGATGCTAGCTGTGTTAGGTGTGTCCGCAGCGATGATTATAACGGAAGCAGGACTTTTGTCTTGCCATAAGCCTCTCATAATTAGCTACCCATGTTGCCAGTCCTCCTTTGCTTTTCTCTTCAATGTTACCCAAATAGCACTGTCATCAGGAGATGACTCTATTTAGAACCCTGAATTTAGGAAGGCTGAATCTGAGTTCAAGCTATTTTATGAACTCTAAGACGTTAGGCAGGTTGATTCTTCTTATGGACTTGATTTTCCACAACTGCAGAATGAGGTGCTAATGGCCTCAATCTGTGTTTACTCATATGTGTGGTGAGAAGACAAAGTGAATACAAGTGTGAGCATGTGGCTAGTGTGCTACAGGCACCATCAGACCTGGCCAGCACGCTTCAGTCAGATTACCGTTAACACAAACAAGCCACAGCATTTGGACTTATTGTTCACATTTGACCATAGCTAAGTGTGCCAGATGACATTCAGAAAAGAAAATCTTTTTCAGCTGAAGTCAAATTACATGACACACGAGAGATTTTGGGACTGTCTTGTCAAATACTTAGACTATGTTCCAATAAAATAGATTGACAGCTATTCTATGTTGAAAAAGATGCTGGGCTAAAACAGAAGTTCACAATATATTCTGCAGACCAAAATACCAACATAGCAGGATTTGTAACAACCAACTGCTGCCTGCAGACAAAATAGTAGTTTGTGCTACAGAAGAGATCAAACCAATGTGCTCTGAGCATGTAAGTGCTGGTTAAATGACAACACTGGTAAAAATCTTTCCGCTTCAGGGAAGATGCAGCAATTCAGGCAGTCAGTGAAAGTGAGATGCAAATGGAAGTTTTCTGGTGGCTTGTCATCTCAAAATCTAATTACATGGTTCCACTGCCACATAAAGTTTAAGAACAATTTTTCTTACATGATTATGGGAAGCAGCTCGTACATGCAAAAATATTAAAAATAAAGTATGTCAGGGAGAACAGTCTGTTTTCCCCCTTCCCATAGATTCAGAAAACATCTTTTTAAAGCAGTGCACAAAACTTGAGTGGGGGCAATGGCCTCAGTGCCAGTGCAGCCAAATTCTGATAAAACCTTTAATTCAGGAACTGGTGAAGAGAGAAGGATTTACCATAAATAGTTACTGGTAGAGAAAAGCTGATTTACTATCAACAATACCTTACACTAGCAGAATTAAAGAGAATATCCATTTAGCATTGCAAATGTGTGTAGCTCTGGGCTGGGAAATTATTTTATTTTATTTTATTTTTTTAAAGATTTTTATTGGGGAATTGGGGGGATGGGAACAGTGCTGGGGAATTGGGGGAACTGGAACAGACAAGTTGTTGTCGTTTTGTTCTTCAGTCTAGTTGTGGAGGACCTTGCTTCACTGGCCCAAGTTGGCACCATCATTGCGCTCTTCCCAGGAGAGGCAGATCAGTCGCCGGCTTCTGGATGGCCATTCATGCTGGCTGCTGGCCGCTCATGCTGGCTGCTGGCTAC